AATGAGGACCTCTCGTGTCCAGCCGTCGTTGCTCTCCTGCCCCTGCTGCTGCAGCAGATTGTTCAGGGCAAAGATTGGGCTTATAAATCATCTGCATACCCGCGTGACCTAGTCTCCACTCCCCTCCTCTCTCTTTCCTGTCTCTTCTTTCTCCTTTTTCCTCTCTCCCTTTCTCTTTTCTCCCTCACTTTTTCTTTCCCACTTCCTTTCTCTCTTCTCCAACCTCCCCTCCCCCTGCTGGATGTGGACATCTTCTCTTGCGAAGGATGAACAGCATATCTCTCTATATAGATCTATCTATTTATATATCTAAATATGGCAACAGATCACCAAAGGAAGTCTGAAGAGCTCATAACAGTAGTTTGGGTCTGTGAACTGTAATTTATGACAATTATTCTAGCATTTCTATCCCAGGAAAACCCACAGAAAGAACTTCTCTCAGGCTAAAATAAAGCTAGTATTCTGTATTAGAACCACAACTCACCCTGTCTCAGAAATCGTTCAGCTGGTACAAGATGCTCTTGTAATCAACTGTAATATAGATAGCTTCTATTTACTGTTTATTTTTTATTAGAATTTTTCTTTTCCTTTTCTAGGAATCTTTTCACGGTTTCTCCCTTGCTGTTGTGCAGTTGGTGGGGAGGGGTAACAAAGCACTCATCTTCACCATATTTTTCCCTCTCAATAGTTTTCTCTTTCACATTCACCTCCATTCCCTACCTTTCCCTATCTTCAGGCCAATCTCACTTCTGGAAAGGAACACATACCCCCAACATTCAAATTACAGACAAACAAAACAAATTAACAAATTCCTTTCAGCATTATTGATCTGCAGTTAGACACAGTAAGTTTACCTAAGTTTGAATGCTTGTGCTAACCACAAAAAATACACTGCAGCTTGTACAACCAAGCAAACAGAATTCCTATATTACACTAATCCACAGCCAAGAATTCTTGCTATTGTCTTCTCCACTAGCATTATGGGAATGCACCACAGAGTAGTAATAATCACACTGCATTATTGTTGATGATTGTATATGTTAAAACATGTAAGGTCTAAAACTCTGGTACTCAACTACAAGTTCTCTTCAATTTTTGGTCCAATACTGTATATTGTCAAGATTTAAATGAATGGTTACAAAAGCAACCAAAAACCATAGTGAGAATACAAATTAAAATGACCGGGACCTAAAAACAAATTAAATTATGGCTGCAAATTTTATAACGGTAGTTCAGATCAGCTCTTTTCACGATGCATTCCATGGAAGATGGTTTAGGGAGAAAATCTCTTTCAGGCTTCACTTGCAGTTACATCCCCATCCTCATATTGGCTGGGCTTGATCTTTTCATCATGGAAAAAAGCCAAAGTTGGCAGGTTTATCTGGATCATCAGAGATTTGTATGGAGCCACAGCTATTTTGGGCACAGTTCCACATCAGCTCCGGTTTGCCAAGCAGCCAGAGGTTACTGGTGTATTACTATCCGAGACACTACTGGCAATTAAAGCCCCTGCCGTCACCAGAACAGAGTGGCTGTGCAGAAAAGATAATAAATCCTGCTGGGTTAAATACTGTGTTATTTTTCAAGGTAAGCTCTATGGGACCATAAGGATGCTGGCTGAGGGGTTGGGCCTGTCTACCCTCTCTTTCTTTTTCTTCTCATTCCCTCCACATCAGACACTGTGCCACTTGCAGAAGCATCCATGTAGTGGCATCTGAACCCCCACTTCCAGAGAAAAGATGGAAGATCTGCATGAAGTAGTCTCCCCTATGTGCAGATCTGCAAGGCAAGATTCTGGACTAAATATGTGTCTTTACTATCTCTAATTTTTATGAGTGAAATTCACCATTGTGCAGAGACCCAGCACAAGGTCTTTGAAACTTTCTGCATTGGATAAATGTTGCTGTTGTGATTTTTATATCAGTTGAGTTTGTACATGTTAGTGTTGTTAGCTTACACCAAGTTCAGTATATAATTCACTACATTCTGAATCGCAGTGAACTACACTGGTTAAAAGCTGGCCAGTTCATATTGCAATTACCTCTGTGGCATCCCAGAAACGCTCTGACTGCTTTGTTAGGAAGGAAGATCATTGTATATGTTAGACACGTGTTGGTTAATACTACAAAAAGCAATTATGAAGCCACAAAACACAGCTTGTTCATGAGTATACATACATATATGGTGATGGGGTAAAAATGCTGATACATCCTTACATAAGTGCTTGAATTTCTTAATGTCACCCAATAAAGTTTTAAAACTACATTTATGAGTAATGCATACATTCAAATGAGAGCTTTATTTACATTAGCCTTTCAAGTTCTGAGTGTTGGAGCATACGCAACCATGTTCGCACTACAATTTTTTGGAGGAACCAGGATGAAAAGCTGATCTTCAGGAACAATTTGTCAAAACTGGCAAAGCGGAAAATGTGTCGGCTCCTTTTACAGCATTTTGCTGTCATTTTTATAGGGTCTGCTACTGTTCAGAGCATTCCTGATGTTCTGGGTATACAAACAGGGAGTTCAAGCAGGCTAATTTATGGTGAACTCTTGACAGTAAATTTTATACACCTCAATTGATCAGAAGTGTAGGTGAATACCCTCCAAATTTTTACTGCATTGGCAATTGTCTCACCAAACCATTAGGATCATAGCAGGGAAGGAACTAGCTTAAATCAGGAGATCTGTTTTTTTATCAGAAAGCAACCTGCACCTATTTAGAAAAGGAAGCATATATTTTAATTCCAAGACAAACTGATTTATAATCTTTCATTATGTAGAAAACAAATTGTACTATAAAGATTAATCAAGTAATTTTATTTCATATTTACCATTCTGCAGCAACCATATGAGCATCTGGGTAAACAAACCTCATGAAATGTTTTGCTGCAAAGCTGACTTCAGTAATACACGCAAATGATCAATTCAACAATTCTGCTCACTGCCAGAAATAAAAAAAATGGCTTCAGGAGCAAATAACACTGATTCATACTGTGTTCAAGCACTAGTCAACAAATCTATTAAACCACACAGGGGGAAAAAAAAAATCAAAGCAGCTTTGTTATCTTACTTGCGACACCTTATTTAAAATCTCAGGCAGTACCTCTTTATACCAGCATAAATATGTAGCCTTCTACATCTTTTATGATGTGGTTACAGACACAAAAATGTTATAGTCAAAAGCAAGAGCTAGGAATTTCAGACCTCAAAAATCAACAAGATACAAAGCTAAATTTCATACGTTCCTTTTTCAGTTATGAATACTTTCACTAAAACATAAATATTTTAACATATATTAATTTTTTCTGACATTCAAAATTGTAAAGTCAATATGGCAGAATTATTGTTAAAAGCATATATGTACAAATATTTTTTTCTCCATACATAAAGTATTTGGCATAATTATAACAATCTTACTGCATACACAACTGTTTGCTTCTTTTTCACATAATGGTACACTCCTTATTAAAATTAACCAGTTATGTACAAAAATACTTGAACATTTATTATAGAAAACCTCTATAACCACCATCAACAGTATATATCTGCTGAAGGTTTCATTGAGAGAATATAAAAAGTGGTCACTTTCTTCCAGTTAAGCTATCAACAAAGCAAATACAGTTAAAATCAACATAAGCTTCCCAACAAAAGAGGGAGAATATTTTAACAGCATGATTTAAAATACAGTTCATTTCTTGTCAACCAAGTGTTATGAACAGGGGGGTAAAAGAAAGACACACAAAAATACACAGACAAGGTGCTTTTCCCACATTCCTACAACTTGGCCTTAGCTTTTCCATAGTTCTAGAGATGCTATTTTGAGATACTCAAACTAATCTGTCTACCAGAAGCCAGAGCAGAGTGGCACCTACATTAATTTAGAGAGAGAATGTGTCTACCATTTATCCTGTAATAAAGATGACAGTAATCAATGTCTTTAAGAAAACAAAACACCCCCCCCCAACCACCTGCACTGGTATAAAAATATCTAAAGAGCTGTTAGACTTTTAACTAATTTGTGCAGAATTGTGAGTTAATGCCCACTGCAATTCAGCTTTTAAAAATTACTGATACATAACCAGCAATTTATACTCATTACATTTGTTCACTTACTGATTCATGTTGATACTAGCCAGCACTGATTCTTGTATCCTTATAAATGTGCCTGTATAATACTGGGATGTTCGTTCTTTTGGGACAGAGAACTTTCAATCAAAAGTAATTGTTATTGGGATTGTGTATACTGACTAACTGGAAGAGCAAAAGTAAATTACACCTCAAAAAGAAAGAAATGCACCAGAAACAGCAGATAAGCTACTAAAACAGTACTAATAAAGTTTAGCAAAAATCAATGACCAGAAAGACGTTCTACATTAAATGAAATGTAGATATTTGTCAATCTTGGAAAGTAATACAAATGTTGTTTCCCAGAACTCAACTCCAAACTACATCCTTGCAACTTTTTCACAACAGTGTAATTTCCATTGTATATCTACCTTTCTTCACCATAACTATTTGCATTTCCCAACCTGATTGTACAAGAAGGGAACAGTCTCCAACGTACTTGCAGAAATGCCCTACCATACAAACTCTTTTACCAGGAAGTATGCATTCATTTCTACTACTTAGCTCTGTCAGTATGTGTCTTGCTTTTTTGTATGAAGCCTACAACTAGCTCAAATGAGTACTTCTGGGGTTTTAGGTGCAATTATTTTTATGAGGATGAACATAAGGTACAAGGAAGGTATGTATCAATATTAACCACCCTGAAATTAATGAAATTACCTCACTCATGCTTCCTATAATATCAGGCAATCTAAATTAGTAATTTCTTTTAATAATGTGCAACATAATATTAATAAGCATTTTTTAAAAATTACTTAAAAGAAAATGCGGGTAAAATATTAAAGTGCCTACACTAAATGTATTTTGCCTTTTTTTAAATATTATTTCGTAAACCGTAAAGAATTCATTGCAAGTAAATATAAAAGGAACTTCTTATAACTGAGACACTTTCCGAGGAAGAGGCCTGGGACGAGGAACCTGTTCAGTCCTCCTGCTGCTGTTTTCCAGATTGCTGGGCCGCACCAGCTGTGGTTTGGGTGGCAGGGCTGGTGGGTCCGAAGGGGCAGGGATGGAGAGGCTGTGAGGTAGCGGAACAGGACGTTTCAAAGTTCGCTCGTAGACACTGTAAGGTGGGGGAGTTTTACTTTCTTTTCGCACTGGCTCCTCAGAAACACTGTAGCTGGGAACAATTACAGCTTGTTCACTGCTTTGACTTTCAAAGCCAGAAGTTTCAGAAGTGCTACATCGGCTAAGTGAAGAGATTCCACTGCTGTAACTTCCTGACAAGACTGGGGAATTAGAGGTGAGCCCAGAGGAATGATATTCCACTGGAGATGGGGTAAATGACTGCACAGAACCCTGTTTAAGAAAAGGAAACACAAAAGGTTCATGGTGAAAAATAAGAGAATATATATATATTCATTGACTATACAAATTATGCTAACTTCAACAATACATTTTAGTGCAAGTAAGTTATACTGCTGTATACTATCTGGAAGGTTAAAAAAGTCGGGGGGTGGGGGGAAGAAACAAAAGGAGAAAGCTTTCTTAGTTCTGTCAGTGGACTATAACAATAGCATGGTGTGTAAACAGTAGCACTGTGCCCTCTACTGCTAAAACACGGTATTTACAACACAGTTGGTACTTATTTCAATCTGTGATTGAGATTGCTTTCCAAAGCACTCCTAAAACGTTCCCACCATTTTTAATGATGACTCATGCACCCATGAAGCAGTCTTATAGCTAATGTCCTTTTTTATGAACTCATTTGTAAGTTTATATCTAAGAAATTATAGCTGTGCAAATAAGAATGGACTTCAATTGAGTTACCTTATTTTATCAGGAACGACCATCAATTCATATTACCAGATACCATTAACAGTACAGGTGGCTTTAAACATTTTGCAGCTGTGCAATGATGCTACTTAAAATCTTATGTTTGGAAAAGCCACATGACTTTCAAGATTGAAAATACATTCAAGTTAGGCCAACTTGGTCTAAAAACACTGTTTGCTCAAAAGCTACACCATTTGAGTTTCAGCTTCCGCATAAAGATACTGTCCACTAGGATTTTAAGTCAGGACCTCCAGCTACTTAGCACAAGACTGGCATAACTCAATCAGCTCTTAATGAAATTTTCTTTTCAAGAGCGAAAGTACTGGAGCAGAGTTCAAGGCAGGCTCTCTAATGGCAGTTGTATGCCACAATGAACTCCTTAAGTCATGGATATGGAGTAGAGGTGCACCAATACATTGGTCCGATATCGGATCAGCACCAGTATAAGACAATTGTCTATATCAGAAATTGGCCTGAAGTGGCCAATAAATGGTCCACGCATGCATGCAGCTGCAGCGCAGCACGTAGGCAGTGAGGAGCACAGCCAGCAACATGGAGAGCTGCGTGCAGCTGGTAAGTCTGTTGTGGTGGAAGGGGAGGAGGTGTGGGGGAGCAGATCAAGGCCCCTGCAGTGAGGAGGGTGTGGGGCTAGGGCAGGGGCAGGTGCTGCCCAGCCAGGGTGGGGGGAGGGGCATGGGACAGAGCTGCAGCTCATCTGGGAGGGCACAGGAAAGAAGTGGGGGCAGTTCCCACCGCTGCGTGCAGTTTGTTTGGCGGCCGTCCACTTATCCGGCGGCTCCCACTGCTGCTCCTGCCCCTCATCTGGGAGGGCATGGGGATGGGGGTGTGCCCCCAGATCTGTGTGGCATGAGCAGCGCTGGGAGGGGGGCTATGGGGCTCCTACAGCAATTTTTGGGGTGGCCACAGCCCCTCCCATAGCCCCCTCACAGCGCCGCCACCACCTGCCCAGCGCCACTCCAGTGCCAGCCTCAGCCCACAGCTGCAGCCTGCCCTGCTCACGCCCCACATAGGATCCAGGGCATACGACCTCCTCATGCCCTCCTGGGGTGCGCACAGCAGTGAGAGCCCCCCCACTCCCCATGCCCCCCGGACAAGTCGCGGCTCTGTCCCACACCCTGCCCCACCCCAGCTGGGCAGCGCCTACCACAGCCCCACTCCCTCCCTTACCACGGCGGACTTGATCTGCCCCTTCCCTCCCCTTCCACCACACCAGACTTACCAGCTGCACTCAGCTATATCAGAAATTGGATCACTATCAGCCCCAAAAATCTCTATTGGAGCACCCCTAATACAGAGTTCTGGCTCCTCAAGGGAGGTGCTAGCTGTCTCACTGAGAAAAATGGCAGCAGATGCTGAAATAGGGTGAACTTCTTTCTGATGTACCCCCATGAAAGCCTGCAAGTCCAGAGGCTTCCAGATTTTTCACCTTCAATATGCACATTAGATGTAGAGAACAATTCCAAACTTCTAAGCTTTGAATGGATGTAATGAAGCCCATAATACCATTTTCAAGACACGTCTTGAATGTTGCATTAAAGGCAAAAGTCCTCTAGGCACTGAGGATGACTCTCAAAGACTGTGCTCTTACACATGAAGTTTTTACTCCTAGGCACAGAGCCTGCAGTGGTGCTATCTTATGTCATTTTTCTTTCAGCACATCTCTCACTATTCTTATTTTCCAGGAGAGTTAATCCTGGCATATATCTTTAGATAAGGGAAAAATACCTGCTGCTACTACTACTATGTAGATTCCACTCATGGACACACTGGGTATTCTGGGTAAACCCCAGCTAAGAGGGGGATGTAGGAAAGATTGTGATCACATGGCACAACCCCTGACCTGAAAATGTTGGGGAAATGCACATGACTTTGAAGCCTTGCTGAAAACTATATACATGGAAAAACAACCAATATTAACAAAAAAATCATACATCATGCCATACAGCCCCATGGGATGGGTCAATACCTTCATTGGAGATCTGCCAACAGGAGAAGGGGAAACTGAGGCTATGTGTCTTGCTGGTGAAGCTGTGAAGTTAGAAAGATTGTAATTCAGTTTCACAGAAACCTGACAGATTTTAGGGTAATACCTTCATGAAAGATGGACATCAACATTATTACAAAAATGCCACCAGACACAAGTAAGATCACCAGTAAGTTTAAATGTTTTACAAAAATAGTGATAGAAAAGGCGCTCATCAGGAAAGCTATAAATGGAAAAGAGGGGATCCTATTTTTGCTGCTCAGTACCTCTTCCTATACCAGTCCCTGTACTCTGCTTAAAGGCTGAGTGAATATTTTGTTTTGTTTTTTCTCAAAGTTAAGTGAAGGTTATCTTAAAACAGAACAGATACAACATGCTATATTTATGCAGCCATTTCCCTTGATGATTTCTACATTATTGTAAGTCAACTGGCAATATGATTTAAAAAAAAATCCTTATCATGCTTTCTTCCCCTCACTATGTTTTTTCTTATAAGAAAAATATTCTGAAAGTATGTATTAAATAAGCAAAAGCATATAACAAAGTGTACTTATATCAGAGATAGATGACATGCTGTGAAGCTTAAGGCTGAATGAAAAATATCTTCAACCACTAAAAACAATTATATTTGTAATACCTTTAAAAGGACAAAATACTTTTCTGAAGGGTAAATTGGTTAAAGAAATTCAACCAATATATATACTTAGCTGCTAAAGTAATGCTGCCAATAAGATTTTTTTTAATACTGAGCATTTGTGGTTGGTACTGTCCAATCATAAGATCAAAAGACTAAACTCAGTCATCTCTTCCAGTGTCAACATGAACACTGTGAAGCTAATAAGTCACTAAATGAAAAAGCAGGATACTGGAACAGGAATGTTACAGAGGAGAGATTGTTAATAAGGTGAAAGTAACTGCAGCTCTACACTCCTCATAATCAAAAGATAAATTAACCTGCCCAAACAGTTAAGTGTTAACTATGGTGAGAGAATCAAAATCCTCCAGTAAAATCATTTTGTACTGGCCTGAAAATGTTCATAGGCTTACCAGTCTGTGTGGGTCTTGGTGGCACAGGAGGAGATATAAGCTTTCCACTTTCTGATGTATTTCTAGCTTCTTTCCCACTATCCAGGCTCCAGCTGCTGGGGGTAGTGTTTACAGCTGGAAGGGAATGACGAAATTGAGACAAAGACTAACAGTTCTAGCTCTGGTTCAGCCTCGCCAACCTTTCCTACATCCATAAAAGCTACAAATACACAGATGGAAAATGTTAAACAATAAAACAGCATGCCTGAGAAGCTCTAATGATTACAGCAGCATTTCAAAAAAGCACTTCAATCATGCATATCAGATTCCTGGTTTGCCTGATGTATGCATTTGGCCTCCAGGTCAGTTTGAGATTGTACGGCAATTTGAACCATCAGCAGCAACAGCAGCTGAAATAGCACTCTGGTGTGTTGCACACAGATCCCAATACAAAGGGAAACAGACCAGCCTCCCATAAATGGAGTCATTTTCCCTTTGCAGTGGGCTCCTGTTTAAAGAATTCTAGGCAGAATGAAACAGGCTATTCCACAGGCAGTTTCCCTGAATTGCTTTTCCTGTAGAAAGATTGAAAGAAAGAAACTGAATAAAATTTTAGTCAATACCCCTCAAAAAAACCCCACTTTGACTCTTCTGCTGCTGTCCTGCATGTCCTAAAACAGAGAGCTGAACAGAGACAAAAAAGTGAACAAGTGAAGAAGAGAAGAGATGGAAATTTTAAAACAGAAAAAGAAAAAACCCAAACATTTCTGCTGTGGAGCTTGGGAAACCTAGGCTCTTATGTTGTAGAGCCTTGGCACAAAGGTCATAATTAAAATTCACTGTTTTGGCACTTCTGACTTGTGAAACTTGGATGTTTGGTATTTATCAGTGTCATTTCCCCCAACTTCTACAGCTTTACCTGAACTGAAGAGCGGGGAATGATGATAGCTCATACTGTCATACTGTCTGCACTTGTCAGGCAGCACTGACAGGACCAAAAGATAACTCCAATTCCATTTTTTTTAAGACTGCCCTTCCCCTCCCCATGCTGTTCTGCGTCCCCTTCCCCCCAGCAATGAAAGCTCTACTATCTCCAGAAAGGCAGAAGTGGAAAACTGTAGAACTTTTTTTTCCAGCTGGCCCATCTGTCAACAACTTCAAAGATTTTCTGAGATATTGGGAGCATGTAGTTTACTGATTTTCTCATTGCTTGCCTGCTCTATAACTCATAAGTAAGCAGGAGACAGAGATGCATGAACCCCACATCCTTTTACAAGGAGAGGATGAAAGGCAGAGTGCAGTACTACTGTTGTGACTATTTCTATTACAGCAGGATGCAAAGGTGGGTGTAAACGCTCCCAAAAGGTTAGCATCCCAGCACGCTAGGCTCTGTACAAACAAACATCACAGAGTCCTAGCCCAAGGAAAATACATAACATGGAACCAATATACAAATAAGGGGAGCTCAATTCCTGGGCAGGGGCAGTAGTGTAAGTTATTACAGGTGGTTGTCATGAGGTTCATGTGTTGTTGTTCCCCACACCCCCGCTACCCCCCCAAAAAAAGAAGAAAAAAAAAGGACCAGTCTTATGTCTAGTGGGTGCATCTAAATGTGTGCTTTACTATGGAGTAGACTAATAAGCCTTGCAGTAAAGCCTCACCATCTACATAGGTGCCCATGTTAGGGCACAGTAAACAAATTAACACTATAAGATAGTGTCATCAGGGGCAGTACTTACTATCTTATAGCAGGGTCACTTGCTGCACAGAAATGCACATGTAGACAGTGACCAGGCAGGGGCCAGATTCCTGCCTGCCACCTAGCCATGTGGTTCCATGGGGTCAGCACCCTCATGCTCCAGCCAGCCCCTTCACAGCATGATGTTGCCACTCAGAGCCCGGGGCTGATATCCCATTTCCCCTGCCAGCCCAGCTCTGATCTGCCCAAGCTCAAATTGTTGCTGTACTAGGCACAGGTGTACACGCTGCACCTGGGAGCAGTTTACTCCAGCTCAATCAGCTCCAAAGTTTATTGCTTTACCTTAGTATCATGTACAGATGCACCCAGCATGTATCAACTTTGGCAGTTAGTTTCCTTTTCACAGAACTACGCCCACAGCTTGGCACAACATTTCTCAAAGAAAATAAAATCCTGTTTTCTGATCATATTTGCTAAAGAAGATGTATCATATAAGACACTGCCTACAGAAAAGAAAAAGGACCCATTTATGGTAAGTGAACAACTTTATTCCAGAAGAGGAATGTAGGACTGGAAGGGGCCTGGCTCACTGAATATAACATTTTATAGAACATTTTTCCTGGGAACAAGAAGTCATCTTGGATCTTTTATTGCTATCACAGAGAATCATTTGCATAAACTTATGGAGCTCTGTCTTAAGGGGAAACTGTTCTTCTGCCCAGGCCCGTAGGAATGTTTCAGTGCTTCTGAACTAAAATATCGCCAATTTCTCAGTCCTGTGAAAAACTGTGAACTTCTGAGATTTCTTTCATATATGGGATATTTGAAAAATTCAAAATGTGTTGCAGGAGGAAACTTTTCTTTCCTGGCCAGTTCTTGTAAGAATGTTTTTTTCCTAAAATGCAAGCTATGATAAATCTGTTTTTCTTAAAGCCATTTGGCATGTCTCTATGGATTCCAGAGTGATTTCAGTATAAAGCTTATTGCTCTGTGATTATGCCAACATTAAAGAACATGCTACTTAAAATGTTATAAATGAAAACATCTTTGGTATAGCAAGTAACGGATGTTTTTTATTTACTCAAACTAGTGAAGATTTACTTCCAATTTATACCATTTATAAACATTACTTATAAATGGGATGGATTATGTTTGGTCAAAGAGGGTCAGGAGGTGACAAACTTCAAGATTTTTCCCACCCCAAGACAAAGTCTTTATGAACCCCTCCAGACACTAAGGTCCACAAAAGAATGTTTATATTCTCCCCACTCCTGAGCCTTTAACCATTTTCCCAAGTGAATCAATCCAGCCAGCAAGAGGCCATCCTAGCAGACAGAGAGCCAGCAGCAATGCATTGCCATCTGCTGTTCCAACACTTACTCTGTCTCCCTGCTATGTCCCAGGCCCTTCTGAATGCTAGGCCCAGATCACATGGTCACTATTCTTTCTTTGGGAAGTGCTTTGAGTTCGATGGATGAGAAGTACTGTATGAGAGTTAGAAATTATTATTGTTCACTTCAGGAAGAGTGCCATTCTATAATGAAAGGACACTTTAACAGTCACTTCTGAATTCCAAAATTGGCTAGAGCATAGAATTTCTACTCACCCTTCTCAGGGACAGACAGGCTAGGATCACTTCGTGGCAAAGCACCGTCTCCAATATGGTTAAACAGCATTCTCTAGAAATTCAGAAGAGTGCATTTTTGAGTAGCTATAATGGTAGCTCAATGGACCTTTTAAAGACAATGTAATTAGTTTTGCACAAAAACACCTAGTTAAATGATTTAAAGAAGGAAGTTAATTTTGAAAACCAAGATGATCCAAATTTACATTAACAAACATAGATTTGTACTTTTATCTATTAAAAAGGGTAAATTTAGAGGCATATAGGGTAAAAGAAACAAGAGAACATACAATGTTTTTGAAATGTGTAGAAACAGAGATTAAACCCTCTTTCTTTGAAGACAGCATATACCCAAAGAATTTGAGAGTGATTTAGTAAGCTTCATCTGTATGTAAAGCAGTTTTCCACTTCATTAAAATTGTAACTTAAATATCAATTCTGAAGTGAAGTTTATATGGATTGACTTCAGTGGGATGCTGAGTGAGTGCAGAGGCCTGTCTGCAAGGATCTCATTTTAGATACCAATATATGTTGATGCCTATGGCACTACTATATCCTTGGTAGAGGATTTCCTATTTCTGCCTGAGATCTGAGTTCCTTATCTTTATTGCTAGTGAGAACTGTATTTATACCTACCAATTTCCTCTTTCCTGATTACTAATTTCTACTAGAGATCAAAGGACCAATATGAGTTTGTTCTAAGCTCCAAACACTAGCAGATCTTTCTGGACCCCCTTTTGACATTAAATAATAGAGGCAAATCAAATGAGCAGCTAATTTCATCAATAATTTAGTTCTAATTTTAGAGGAAAATAAGAGCAGAGAGGAAGTAATGCTATGGGATTTAAAAGAAAGACTAAGCAATTAATGAAAACATCTCAAGCAAAAATTTTTTTTTTACATCTCCTTTCAGAGTCTGCTGCTCTGTACTAGGCAATAAGTAAAGTCTAGTTTCCTTTCTGAAGGAAAAAAGGTGCAGGTGTCAAAAAAACAATTGAAACCACAGGTAGGGACCAAGAAAGCAAAACAGGAAATGTGAAGGAAGGGGGAGGAACTGAAACAATGAAACACGTGTTATTTAGAATGAGTATAATCATGGAATAATTAACAAGGAGCAAAGAACTCCCCCTTACAATTACTAAGGGGAATAAGAATAAATAACAAAACACTCAGGAGATCTCTCAACCCTTACCAACAACAGTAATTCATATTCTACATATAAAGTGTAGGCTAGAAAAAACAGGCTTAGTCAGAAACCAAGAAGCAAACCCTGAAAGGGAACCAACCAGATGCAGACATACAGATATAATCCTGAGAAACAATTTAAGTCAGATGACTTGGTCTAATACTTTTTTGGCCTGGGTACTACTCAGTCCTCGTCTCTTGTTCAAATGAGGTATGCATTGGCTTGGCAGGATTGGATTTGGTCTTGAAGCATACACAAGTACACTCCTGAATACTTCCTGTTTTCCTCGTTAAAAGACAATAGCAAAAGTTACTTTCACTTGGTTACAAGCAAATAGAGTGACGGGGGAAAACCCTCCCTGATTACCATAGCATGAATATTCTGATCAAGCTTCTGAGTTCCAAAGTGTTAGGATAAAAGCAGCAAGGACTAGTAATAATGTCAGCATCTAATTTTTACTAAGAGCTAATTATGTTTCTTGAAGGAGAGTAATAATTTAGTCTTTGTAATGTCTCAGCACTGAATATGGCTTTTTTAATCCTACTCTGATGATAGAGAATCAGATAGCTTCTTTGGAACATTACCCATTCTGGTTGTTTTAAGAAGGATATTTTGCTTCTTTTACTAGATCTGTCCATTGAAGGATGAGACAAAGAGGGAATGGTTGGCCTTCTTTGGTTTGAAACATTACTCTGAATGAAGAAGGTAATGGGCAAGTCTCTGGGGGAGTGGAGATTGAGTATATGTGCTTGCTCCTCATACTTTCCTGTAACAAATCTCTGGTTCAATGGGGAATGATGGCCTCATTCCACTTGGCAAAGCAAGAAGTTGCAAGCTGAGAGCAAAAAAATGGCACAGTTCTTTCTTTGTATGTGGATGAATAAAGCCACTTTACATAAAGAACATCTACTAGTCTTCACTCTATGGGGCTTTGGCTGCTTTATCATTTAGAGAGCAACATGCAGAATCAATTGGAATAGTCCCTGAGAATTGCTTTTAATCATGCCTAAGTTTAAATTTAGGACACTTGGATATCATGATGATAGGTAAAGTGCAAGAACTTAAATAGCATTAAGGAAAATATTTACAGAGAAGAATATTTTTCTTCAAGAACCCATCTGATAGTGGAGAGGGAAGACAGAGAAAAAAAGATACAAATAAAACTAAAACGAAAGTAGCAAGCCATTTTAAATTAAACGAAATCAGATCTACCGAGCAATCTGGTTGTTAGAAGGAGAATTTCTGGCAAGAGTCAGAATGGATACATTTTACCAGAGCCAAGGAGCTTGCTGCCAAAGTGCTTATCTCTAGTCCGTGTTGTGAACTGCGTTGTGGAGGTGGCATGAATCAGAAGGACAAAGGTATCAAGAGAAAAGCACTTGAATGTGCCCAATGAATGGAAAGATTGAAATCAATAAGGAATCAACAATAGCTGGCATATCAAACTTACTCTGCAAGTCTCCATAACTCACAGACAAATGATGGGCATTTTCCTACTTAGAATTAAAAGATAATAATTTTCAAGAAAGAACATATTCTTTCTATCTCTCTCTCCACCCCCCATGCCAGAAATACTGCCTTCCCTACTTCATATTCCTCTTTGAAACGACAGAGAAAAGTAGGAATTGCCAAAATGAACGGGTTTTATAATGTATCTTGTTTCTGACAATGCTTAGTGCAAAATATTTTAAAGAAAGGTAAAGGGAAGTTCAAAGTGGACAACAGCTGCTATAAAAACATGTTTCCCCTCCATTTTCCTTGCTTCCTAACTTGCACGAAATCAGTCACAGGTGTGGCCCTTAAAAAAAAAGGGAGAGGGGGCAGTTGCTCCCCACGGAGGGAACAGGCCCTGGGTATAGAGGTATGGCAATACCAGACTGGGACTTGCACGGCCAGAGCCAGCCCTGACAGCCTCCCCTTAGTGCAAAAATACTACTCTTGCTGAGTGCAGCCCACCTGAATAACATATATGGCAGTGTCCATTGCATGCAATCCCCCTTAGCGCTGACTCTTTTTCAAGTCATGGTGAGCTACTACACCTTATGGGTAAGATGATGGTATAAAATAGATGCTTTAATGGATTGTATTAATAGAATCTGGCCTATTGTATTCTTGCCAAATGAGATTAATGCATGCCTACTAATATTAATGATAGCGAGCAGAGGATTGAGGAGGTTAGGTCATTATTGTTCTTATACGAAACCTCTGGACGTTACCAGGTTTTCTCAATTGATTTCCTCTTATGTCTTTTAAAAATAATCACTTCTGCTGAATAAGTTAAAAGTTAAATTCCATTATTATAGTCTGAAAAGCTCATGGTAACAGCCCAGCTGGGCAGCTGCCTACCTGCGAAGGTTCTGAAGGAGTAGGATAGATGGCACTGCATGGTCTCTCTCTTGGGGACAGGCAAGAGTTTTCTCGGGAGTGTTTATGTTTGTCAGACAACAGAGGAGAGGCTGGAATAGAAAACAACCCAAAAGAGTAAGTTAATATACAGTTAAATTATGACACTGCAATTCTATGGGCCAAGTTCAGGAGAGAGAAGAGTTTCTGTTGTACTTAATCTGTCCTCCCAAAAATTCACCTACTTAAAACAATCATTTGCATTCCATGTTACCTTTGTGGCATGCATGTAATAATTTGTGCCATTTAGCTCATAGTAGATAAGCACTAACCTCTAGCACTGGATGGAGCAGAGCTGGTCACATTAGGTGAAGCAGAATGAGTAGAGCTCAAGCTTGAGGTAGATGGACTAGGCTGGAAATAGATCATGCACAGAGTTGTAAAATACAAATGAATGGTTTGCATTTCAGTAAGGATACAGTCAGACAGACAGTTAAAAATGGAAGGAGAGAATATATTGACCATGTATCAACTGTTTTGCAATAATTGTTTTCTGCATCTGTCCCTATTCTGCAGTAAACAAAAGTTAAACTGGGCTCTGAATGAAACAGGGCTAAATTACTGCAGTTTAATTTCCACTTACTGTGGGATAGGAATTGATAGCTAAAATAAATGATACATACTGATACATATTAAACTTCTCCCTCTCCTGTTAACTTGTTATAATTTGTTCCTCTGCCCAGATCTTAATGCACACCCTTTGCCAAAAGTAGAGTTGTAATTTGTTAGATTAATTTTGCAGTGCCTCCAATCAATAAACGGCTGAGTGATACTGATACCATTTACTTTATTTTATACTTGCCATATTGTCAGTAGCAACTGTACAGAAAAGTTTGATTAGATAAAAGTGATGGGTTTGTGTTACAGTGCATCAATTTTAATACTAATTTTGACACATGCATTTATTTCTCCAAGTTCAACCAGGCCAGTGATACCCAACCTTCTGGACCATGGGGTCAGATGAGTGGCATGGGGTTGGTCTGGTAGTAAAACCTGGCCCTGCCCCATGCCACACACCAGTCCAACCCCATGTTCCTGGATCTGGTTTCAGAGCCACCACGCACGCTGGCCTAGTCTAGCACAAAGGCCCACATTATCTGGCCTACAGAGCTCCTCATCAGTCTGGAAATTTGGCAACAGGGGAATAACAATTAAAGCTGCCACTGCTCCCTGCCACCAAATTTCTGCACTTGTAAGAGATCCCCATGGGCTGGATGATATTGCACCATAGGCTGGATCTGGCCAGTGGGCTGGAGGTTGAGCACCTCTAGACTAGGGAGTTATTTCATTCACAATTCTTAAAACAAGAGAAGAAAATAGTAGTCAATAACACCTAATTGCTTTTTATAAGAAAACTCACAACAAGCTAGATTGAATTTAGTTTAGGAAAGATACCTGCATGTTAAAAACTTCATCAGAGCTTTCTGACTGCCCAGTAATATTGCTGACTTCAGCAGAAGCTTGTGATGACAATGATGAAGATGAATACCTGTTGACAGCTGGGTAACTTAATGGACTGTTTGAGGAACAAGAAAGCAATATTGATTGGTTAATTCCTGTTCCAAATGGCAATTTATCAAATGTTAATACAGTATCCAGACAAAATAAAATCCCCACTCCTCATTTATCTCATAAATCAAATCTGGGTAATTTATCACACTGATATTTTACCATCTATGGAGGATAACAAATGATAGATTGATGATATCAAAAAGTATACATATATAATAAGTACCATTTGAATAAGACTAAAGAAAATGATAGATATTTCTGCTAATTTAAATTCTGACTTACCTGCGTCTAGGAATTACCCTGGCACCCTCTGGGCTCATAGAAGGAGGCGCTGAATTTCTACATACCCGTGGACTGCCATTAGGGAAGTGAACAGGACTTGCTTGAACACATGCAGAAAACTCCTAGGTAAGTATTGAAAAAGAAAACATTTGTTTGAATAAACAAAGCACCATCAAATATTTTGGAAGATTTTTTTTCATATTACTAACTAGCAGTGCCTTTTCATTTTGAATCTGATACATTACTACTACTAAGGGTACAGACAGATGCAACTGCACTGATATTAAAGGGTACTGATACAAGCTGTTACAATACAACTGAAACATCTTTATGATCCCCTAGCATAGGGGTGGCCAACCTGTGGTTCACATGCTGTAAATGGCACAAGAAGCCTCTGTATATGGCAAAGAGCAGACTGGGGAGGGAACAGGCAGCACTGCAGCAGATAGACCAGGAGCAGAAAGCAGAATAGAAGATCAGATGGGAAGC